TCTTGAATCGCTTGCATAATGGGTTGCTCTCATGGGTTGGGATAGAGGCACCATCTCCGCTAACATTACAGGGTATGTCTTAACGGTTACTTCTTCTTCCAATGGATCTAGGAGCCTCTTAGGAGTATTCACAGGGGAACTCCGGAAACATGAATAGTCTCGGGAAGAATGCTTAGGTCTAACATATACGTGGAACTCCGGAAACATGAATAGTCTTGGGAAGAATGCTTAGGTCTAACATATACATGGCCATCTTCGAGTGGTTGTCTGAGGCGAGGTCTGAAGTTATCTTGCTTGGAGGATGCGGCGCTCATTTGTAGGACTTTCGTACATACTTGTTGTCTCTGGTGAGGTTTGCCTTCCTTTCCCTGTCTACTCCTTCATTCATTGGACATGTCTTCTGCTCAGCCTCAGTATCCCTTGGAACTACCTCCACAGCATGCACGATGCACGGTAAATCGTTCTCAAGCTGCCGGACATAGATGGTATGAGTCTCAGGGCTTGTTATGTGTGTTCTGCATGCAGCAGGCACCCTAAGTTCATTACTATAGTTACTAGGAGCTTCAGTCTTTGGATTGTTACTCAAGGCTGCCAATTTCACTGGATGAATTCTTACGACAAGTACTCTTGTTGTCTCAGCCCCTGGTAACCACGTCGAAGTAAGCCTGATACTTCGTCCTTCACCTAACGTGGAACTTCGCATAGGTTTTAATCTTGCAGATGGGCTTAATGATTCTCTGGTAGCTTCTGATCTAGCACATTCATCATTCTGATCTCTGTGAGGATGGCTCCTCAGGATTCGGAAGTTCGTAAGAGGTTGACCATATGGATGTGCAGCCGCCTCAGTCAAGCCCTTCAGCAATATATCGAAGCATTCCATTCTCGCAGGGAGCTTCCTAACTTCTGTTAGGACAGTTCCACTACCTGAGGTGGTTTGCAACGAAGCTCTAGCGGATTCGTGGAATCTGGTAGCTTGTGAGATGGGATTCCTTCCAAACGTCCATGTCCAATCACTAATCTCTTGTATTAAGCGATTAGAGACTCCAGCTAAATAGGGTCATAACACTCGGTACAGCATGGAAATCTCGGTTCGGCTTGTGCTAGAAGCGAGCAGTCGTGAGGAGTTGGAAGAGGAAATCCAGTGATCCAGGATAGACTTGGCTAGGACTCGTAAAACTCGAACAACAATCGCAGTTGCTTGGGGAGGTTCTAGCGGTAGGTCAAGTTTGACTTTTCGTTTAGCTAGGTCTAAGTGTTTCCGTAGAAGGGTCTTTGGAGTTTTATGTCCTAGCTCCATCGAAATCTGTAGTCAATATGTTTGACTGTAATTCGGGGCAAGGACATTTCATCTATTGTTCTTAAGAGAACAGGGCATTATTGACAGTAGCGGAGTCGAGGAGTCTAGAGATAAGTCCTGCCATCGTGGTAAAAGGCTCTGCTTGGAAAGGTAGATCCTGAGCCTCCTTATTGTTCCAGAAGATGGTGCTAAGCTGGAACGAATTGTCGTGCTCTCCTTGCTTGTAATCCTGCTCATTCTTTACTTCAGTCTGATTCGAGGAGGGAGTCCAGGATTCATTACCATTGATTCTCAGTTCACCGAACCTTCACGGGTTGCTCCCATTCCCCGTAGTTACTTGAATGAGGTCTACTAGTAGCATCCATGAACCTCCTCTGGAGGTAACGAGTAGTGTCACACTTACTGCTGAAGACCTTCGATCAATCTTACTTTGGATGATTGGTTTAGAGTTACAATTGATTGCGCTAACAAAAGCAGCAGGTATATTAGCTGCACCCTCACCGGGAACAGGCAAGCAATTTGTACTTGATGAAATGGAATTAGAGTACATTCCTCACAAGTAGACATAGGTGTCCCTATAGTACCATAAAAGTACAACTTGGTCAATTGTCCTATGGGTCATAGGACTACCCAAATGGGCCCAATGAGCAACTAGACTATGGTGCTGTAGATTGGCCCAAAGGTGTAAAAACACCTAATGTTTATCATTGGGCCAAATGACTGCAGATGTCTTAGGCAAAAATGGATGGTGAAATTAGGAGACAGAGTTCCGAAATACATTATCCCAGGGCAAATGTCCCATGAACATGTGAAATGTCCAGAGGATTAGTTTCAATATACAGAGGACATCCAAAAAGCACTTGCATAAATGTTTTGGGGAAATGCAAAATGTCCGGACCAATAACCTGATTATCTACGGAACATCAGAAGAACAAGCCTGGTGGTGGTATAAGTGTCCCGAAAAACATGCGAAATGTCCAGACCAATAACTCGATTATCTATGGAACACCAGAAGAACAACCCTGGTGGTGGTATAAGTGTCCTGAAAAAAATGCGAAATGTCCGGAGCATTAGTTTCAATATACAAAGGACATCCAAAAAGCACTTGCATAAATTTTTTGGGGAAATGCGAAATGACCAGACCAATAACTTGATTATCTACGGAACACCAGAAGAACAACCCTGGTAGCAGTATAAGTGTCCCGAAAAAATGCGAAATGTCCAGACCAATAACTTGATTATCTACAAAAAATCAGAAGAACAACCCTGGTAGTGGTATAAATGTCCCCATAAACATGCGAAATGTCCAGAGGATTAGTTTCAATATACAGAGGACATGCAAAAAGCACCTGCATAAATGTTTTGGGAAAATGCGAAATGACCGGACCAATAACTTGATTATCTACAGAACATCAGAAGAACAACACTGGTAGTGATATAAGTGTCCCGAAATAAATGCGAAATGTCCGGAGCATTAGTTTCAATATACAAAGGACATCCAAAAAGCCCTCGCATAAATGTTTTGGGGAAATGCGAAATGTCCGGACCAATAACTTGGTTATCTATGAAACACCAGAAGAACAACCCTGGTAGTGGTATAAGTGTCCCGAAAAAATGCGAAATGTCCGGACCAATAACTTGATTATCTACAGAACCCCAGATGAACAACCCTGGTAGTGGTATAAGTGCCCCGACAAAAGTGCGAAATGTCCGGAGCATTAGTTTCAATATATCCAAAAAGCCCTCATATAAATTTTTTGGGGAAATGCAAAATGACCAGACCAATAACTTGATTATCTACGGAACATCAGAAGAACAACCCTGGGACTGGTATAAATGTCCCGGAAAAATGCGAAATGTCCGGAGCATTAGTTTCAATATACAAAGGACATCCAAAAAGCACTCACATAAATGTTTTGGAGAAATTTGAAATAACCAGACCAATAACTTGATTATCTACGGAACACCAGAAGAACAACCCTGGTAGCGGTATAAGTGTCCCGAAAAAATGCGAAATGTCCAGACCAATAACTTGATTATCTACAGAACACCAGATAAACAACCCTGGTAGTGGTATAAGTGTCCCGAAAAAAGTGCGAAATGTCCGGAGCATTACTTTCAATATACAAAGGACATCCAAAAAGCCCTTGCATAATGGGACATCAGAAAAACAACCATGGTAGCCATGTAAATGTCCGAAGAAAATGCGAAATGTCCAAAGCAATGATTTAAATGCCCACAGGACATCCAAATAACACCCCTGGATGTCCCGGAAAAATGCGAAATGTCTGGGGCATGACTTTTCTTACCCATAAGATGTCAAAAAAGCAACACTGGTGTCCATATAAATGTCCCAGAAATGTGAATCTATGGAGCACTAGTTTTAACATCCACATGACATTAATAAAGCAACCCTGGTATCAATATAAATGTCCTGGGAGAATGCAAAATCTCCCGGGCAATAGTTTAAATTCACTGGACCTCAAAAACAACTCTGGATGTCCCGAAAAAAATGTAAAATGTCTGGGGAATAACATTTAATATCCACAAGATGTCAGAAAAGCACCCCGGTGTCCATATAGGACTCTGGTTTCTAGTTAAATCTCCTGAGACAATGTGAAGGTCTTGAAATGAAGGGTATGATATTCTAGGACAGAAAACCTTCCTGTGTCAAGAAACATAAAGTGCCTATGAGCATTTCCTAGGATGTGCATGAGCTATTCTAGTACCCAAAAGCAATGTATAAAATCACTCAGATAACCAAGATATCAAGCATGGATGTCCTTATGCACTTTGCAGAAAATGCTGATGTTCTCTCACTTTGCGGAACTTGGTGATGTTCACTTGTAGATGAGGTCATTCAATGGCATTCAGTTCATACAATGGAACTTCAGACAATTGTGGACATGCAGAATGCTTTGCGGATGTCCCAATTAGTGTTCCATGCATTTCGCATATTTTCGGAACATTTACATGGACATCCAGGGTGCCATTCAGATGTCCTGAATCAATGTTCATGTGCTTTTTGCATGTCTCGTGTATATTCCAATTAACAGATGTCCCATATATATTCCAATTCATGTTCTGGGACATCCAAGGTGCTTTTTGGATGTCCTGTGTATAGTCCAATTAATGTTCCGGGCATTTCGCATTTTTTTCGGGACATTTATCCAGACATCCAGGATGTTTTTCAGATGTCCCATATGTATTCTAAATAATGTTCCAGGAATTTTGCATTTTTCCGGAACATTCATATGGACATCCAGGGTGCTTTTCAGATGTCCTGAATGAATGACCATGTGTTTTTTGGATGTCCCGCATATATTCCAATTAACATTCCAGGCATTTCGCATTTTTTTCGGAACATTTATGCAGACATCCAGGATGTTTTTTGGATGTCCTGTGTGTATTCTAATTAATGTTCCGGGCATTTCGCAGTTTTCCGGAACATATATATGGACATCCAGGGTGCTTTTCAGATGTCCTGAATGAATGTATGTGTGCTTTCTGGATGTCCTGCATATATTCCAATAAACATTCCGGGCATTTCGCATTTTTTTCGGGACATTTATGCAGACATTTAGGATGTTTCTCAGATGTCCCATTTGGCAATTCGCATTTTTCCGGAACATTTATGTGGACATTCAGGGTGCCTTTCAGATGTCCTGAATCAATGTTTGTGCACTTTCTGGATGTCCCGCATATATTCCAATTAATGTTCCGGGCATTTCGCATTTTTTTCGGAACATTTATGCGGACATCTAGGATGTTTTTTGGATGTCCCATGTGTATTCTAATTAATGTTCCAGGCATTTCGCATTTTCCCGGAACATTTATGTGGACATTCAGGGTGCTTTTCGGATGTCCTGAATCAATGTTTGTGCACTTTCTGGATGTCCCGCATATATTCCAATTAATGTTCCGGGCATTTCGCATTTTTTTCCGGAACATTTATGCGGACATCCAGGTTGTTTTTTGGATGTCCTGTGTGTATTCTAATTAATGTTCCGGGCATTTCACATTTTTCCGGAACATTTATGTGGACATTCAGGGTGCTTTTCGGATGTCCTGAATCAATGTTCGTGCACTTTCTGGATGTCCTGCATATATTCCAATTAATGTTCCGGGACATACAGGGTGCATTTTGAATGTCCTGTGTATTTATTCGGGACATTTATGCAGACATCCAGGGTGTTTTTTTGGATGTCCAGTGTGTATTCCAATTAATGTACCAGGCATTTTGCATTTTCCCAGAACATTTATGTGGACATCTAGGATGCGTTTTGGATGTCCCCAATTAATGTTGCGGGCATTTCGCATTTTTTTCAGAATATTTATGCAGACATCCAGAGTCCTTTTCGGATGTTCTGTAAACCGAAAGTTCTGAAAGTTCCACTCAACCTGAAAGTTCCACTCAACCCCAAAAGTTCCGACCCGCCACAAGTTCCGAATCACTGCAAGTTTCACTAAAAAAACCAGGTAAAATTCTTCAGCTTCCCAACACTTTGGGCCCATCATACAGCCATTGGGACTCTCGATATTGGGCCAACAACTATCCTTAGGCTAAGTTAACCCACTCAAATGACCATAACTGGGCCAAATGCCTATTTGGCAGGATTTGGTTTGGCCTGACATTTGGGCCCAACATTCACCCTTAGGTATCTTTAAGGAACTGGGCCCACCCATGGCCCCATAGTGACGTCCAGAGCATTGGGCCCATTTGGGTAGCCCTATGACCCATAGGACAATTGTCCATGTTGTACTTTTATGGTTCCATAGTGCAGCTACTGAATGCCCTGCATTCCTTCTAATTTTGTATCACCTGGGATGAGAGGACTTGACAGCGCAGGTTTGGAGAGGGGGACAAGGCCCTTGTGATCTTCAGACATTGTTTCCAACTCGTCTTTTTCTTCAACTCGACTTGATGGAGACGCTTGGGTTCCATCGGCCGTGACTGCTGTGCAGTAGTCGATAAGCAAAGTTGCATTGGGGAATGAAGACTTCTGAGTCATCTTGCTAAAGATGACCATTTCGAAGTCATCTGCACTTCTCAGAGCAGCAAGAATCTTGGTCGCACTCTTACCAGGTAGAGATATTTGTTTCATGCTTTGCTTAGTGGCAGAATTCGAAGTTCGACTCCCTGGTTCAGACCTGATTAATGAGCGTGATTCTAGGCATATGGAGTCTGACAGAGGCAAAAGGCTGTCACCCATGAGGAAGACAGTGTCAAGGATGTATTTTTCTTCCATTATCACTCCTTCCCTTTTACTTCTAAGGTTTGTCAGTGTTACGAGATCGTGACTATCCAAACAGTTGGAGTCGCTGAAGTCGTTCCTAAGGGGGTTCGTGCTCTTATGAGCAGCGAGCGCTTTAGTCGTACCCTTGTTGGGCACAGGTCCTATGGCAGGTAAGGGTCTATCGTTCGTGGAAGGGGAAGCTCGGAGGGTAGATTCTCTTGTTATTGACAGTCCTCTTTCTCTATTCTTCCTGGCCGTTTTTGACATTAAAGGATTGCGGATGCTTATACCAGGTGTAAATAAGTAATTTGCCCTTTGCAAACTAACAGGCTCAGAGGGAGTTCCGTTAAGGCTCGAATGGCCTACAGTGTGACGACTTGTAAACATAGATTTGGGTGTCAGTGAGGAATCACCGTTCAAGGGGAAGGTAGCCTTGAGGCCATGCTCTTCAAATCTTGCCAGATTCATGTATTTGTAATTAGCAGAGTTGATGTGGCAAAGCTTGAGAATGTTGATGTCGTCAGTTGCAGGACAAGCCATCAAACCTGTTCGTAGGAGTAAAGGACAGGTTTGCCAGCAGCCGCCTGGTTTGAGCAATGGTAGCTGATGATTAGGGTGTTGACAGGGTGTGAGCTCTTCAGAGGATAGGAGGATCGCCGGGCTCGTCCGCTCGAAGGAATTCTTGCTTCTATGATCTTGGAGGTAGCTATCGCTCATGCAGACGCAGCAGGCATAGCCCATATAGTTTGGGAGAGGCGATAGGATGCTATCGTTCGGTGAAGCGGACATGGCCAGAGCTACTGAAGACGGGAGGATGTTGTTCCACTGAAATGTGTTACTACCGGTGAGAGGAGAGGGTAATTGTGTTAAGGCAGATGTCAGAACAACGTGGGTGGCTTGATAGCTTGCTAACTTGTCATTGCGCTGAGTAAAACAGAATGAGGAATTGTTTATTGATTGAGCAGCATAGCCACCCTCGAAAGCTGCGATATTTCACGCTAACAAGGTTTCCATGGCAGATTGGCTGGCTAGGTCGATGATTGGCTCGTCTTTGTATGGAGTGGTCGAGAACGGGGAGTCGTTGGTCATCCTAGTGAAGAAGCCACCCTTGAAAGCTGTGATGTTTTGCGCTAGCAGGGTTTGGAAGGCAGATTGGCGGGCTGGGTCGATGGTAGGGTATTGACAGAATGGGGACTCTAACATGGGTATGGAAAGTGTAGAGTCATTGTCCATTGCAGTCGCGCCATTGCTCTCGAAAGCAGCAGGTATTCGCGCAGGCCCTTCTGCCATCGACACTCCCTTCCCCCTTTCCCTAGATCTTATCAATGCTACGATTTCATGACTAGTGGAACAGTTGGTGTTGTGGAATTCAATCTTGTGGCAGTTGTCATTGGAAGCATAGGTTGTCCATTTTGTCGAATAGGACAACGAAGTGGTCTGTTCACAGACACCTGGTTTAAACGGTGGTGATTGGTGATTAGGGCGATGACAGGAGGGGAATTCCTCAGGTGATACGGCCGTCGATAAGAATGCTGTCGTGAGCATGGGAGGCACCGAGTCATTGTTCCTCATAGCTACTTCATTACCCTCCGAAATGTTGGATGTAAGAGGCATGAAGAGGTCATCCATCGGGTTTGGGTGGTTACTCTTGGAAGCAGCGGATGTGTGTGCTAATGTGGGTAGAGAGGGTGTAGGGTCAACGTCTGTCATGGCTAAGGTGTTATCTTTGAAAGCTACAGATGTACACGCTAACATGGATAGGGGAAGTGAAGAGGCGTCGTCCATCATAGCTGAATCATTGCTCTCAGAAGCAGTGATTGTTCGCGCTATCGAGGGTATGGGATTGATTGGCTCGACTTCATACAGAGTGGTTGAGAACGAGGAATCGTCGATCAGCTGAGTGATGTAGCCACCTTCGAAAGCTGCGAGGACTCGCACTAAAGAGGTTTCTGGGGTGGACTGATGGGTTGGTACGACGGTTGGCTCATCTTCATATAGAATGGTCGGGGATGAGGGGTCATCAATCAACCAAGTGATATAGTCACCCTCGATAGCTGCGAAATTTCGCGCTAACAAGGTCTCCAGAGTGGATTGGCTTTCAAGGACTTGGCGAGGGCAGTTCCTCGCACAACTGCAGCGGGCATCACTCGTGTTGGTTGGGAGAGGTCGTTTCAACATGGTCAGGGTTGTCGATGGTGTGAAGCCGTTGTTTGTCATAGCCAGGTGGTTACCTTCAAAAGCAGCAGATGATCACGCTATCGTAGGTACAGAAGATATAGAGTCGATGCCCATCATGGCTAAGTTGTTATCTTCAAGAGCAGCAGACATATGTGCTAATGTGGAAGGGGAAGGAGTAGAGTCGATGTCCGTTGTAGCTGAGTCATTACCCTCAGAAGCGAGGGGTACCTACCACTTATATGATAAACCTTAAGCAAATGCCTGCACAGTTATCTGTTTCCTGCCAGGTATGTTATGATATGAGATACTTAGGCAAGCTCAATGAAATATGTCTCATTTCCTGCCAGAGGCATTTCATTTTTTTGTCAGGGATATTTCATTTCTTGCCTTGAGATATTCCATATTCTTAGCTGAGCTATTTCATATCCTTGCCCAGGGCTATTTCATATCCATTTCATTGCTTGCCCTGGGTTATCTCATATTCTTGCCTTGGGTTATTTCATATCTCTACCTGGGCAATGTCATATCCATTTCATTCCTTGCCTTGTGCAATTTCATATCTTTGCCTGGGCAATTTCATATCCCTGCCTGGGCAATTTCACATCCATTTCATTCCTTGCCTTGTGCAATTTCATATCTTTGCCTGGGCAATTTCATATCCATTTCATTCCTTGCCTTGTGCAATTTCATATCTTTGCCTGGGCAATTTCATATCTCTACCTGGGCAATTTCATATCCATTTCATTCCTTGCCTTGTGCAATTTCATATCTTTGCCTGGGCAATTTCATATCCCTGTCTAGGCTATTTCACATCCATTTCATTCCTTGCCTGGGGCAATTTCATATTCTTGCTTGGGCAATTTCATACCTACCCTACTGCATTTATTATTGCCCCCTCACTGTTTCCCACAGTCTGCTCACTGTTTTCAGGGTCCAAAAGCGCACTTCTAAATATGGAAATGTGCGCCTTTCTAAAAGAAAAATAGCAATAAAATAGAGAAAATTCATGGGATAATAGTACCAAATTTGCAAGGTTTGTATTTGTCAGGGTCCATTGGGGGATGTCATGATATTGGTCACATGACCAATTACCAAAAATGGTCATAAAACAAAAGTTGTAGCCTTACACTGTAGCTTCCTGAATCTGTTCAAATTATGTTCTGAAGTGCTCCCATTGTGGATATATGAGGTAAAGGAATCCCAAAAGTGTCATGTTTTTTTTTGTTTTTTACATTTTTCTCCATGAAAACAAAACCAAACAATATGATTTCAGTATATTTAGAAAGCTAAAAGAAAGGGCTACAGTTATTGTATCATGGGAAAAATGACCAAAAAAGGAAGGTGCATGCCCTAGAAAAGGAATTGTCAGATATAGACTACAAAAGACTACAAAAGTCAGACTTAGACTACCATGTTTACTGATAGACTACAAAAGACTACAAAAGTCGGACATAGACTACAAATTTTACTGATACACTACAAAAGACTACAAAAGTTGGAGTTGGACTACAAAGTTAAGGTTAGGGCTAAAAGGTTATCCAAAGTCAACCTAGCCCATCCATCCCATACATGGCACATATTTGATGGGAAAATGGCTGGGGAATATACAGATACATTGCAGGGACCCTATGCCATGTTTGGTTTGAGGAATCATATGCAAAAGAGAGCATGAGAGCCATTATAAAAGGATGTCCAGTCCACTTTTTTAGACCACAAAAGTTTGTAATGTCTGCTTTTGTCATTAGAAAAGTTTGTAGTGTCCGCTTTTTGAGACTACAAAAGTTTGTAGTTGACATGTAGGCTATGGTGTCCTTGGCCCTGTCTAGGTTATGGGGATGAGGTTGAAGGATTGACATGATCTTACATATTGCCAGTGCTGCAGAATTAGTTTTTGACATCATGCACAAGTTGTCTTTCACATTAGGAGAGGTTATTCTAAGCCTTTCATATTGATACCTACTGTCCTACCTCAAAACATAATTATAAGTTCATGTGGCAATATGGCTGAAGGATTGCCATGACTTTACATATTGCTATTGCCACATTATCAAAATTTTCACATCATGCCCAAGTTAGCTGTCAAGCCAGAGGAGGCCATTCATGTTGATATCTACTGTTCTGTCTCAATACATGATTAACTTACAACATGACCTGACTTGAGGACACCTCCAAGGATGAATCAGCCTGTCATCCTATAGCACTTAAAGAGCTGATATCAAAGTTGACTATGTTTGGGACAGGCCAGTAGCTTTCAACATGAATGGCCTCCTCTGCATCAGGAAACAGTAAATTTATACGTAGTTTCTCACTAAAATCTGTTGCGCCAGTACATTTTGGTTCTTCTCCATAGCACACAGTAGCCACAATGTGTCTAGGTAGTTGGCCTATGTGTGTACATTTCCCCAGTAGCTGTCCAGCAACTGTCAGTAGCCCCAATATCCTTTCACCAAAGACCTGTAGCTTCGGTAGATTAGACAACTCAACCAAACAATCAGTAGTAGTTGAGAGAAGGAAACTAAAATTTCCGAATAAAGGTGCACAACAAAGAATGAAGTAAATAGGTTATGCTAGGTGTATGCTATACATCCGAGAACGTCCGTAATGAAAGAAACCATCCGCGAGGTGAGGAAGTGGTTGACGCGCTGGTGTTGAACAACTTCGACAATTCGTTGAAGTCTGTTCAAACTCCAACACCATGTGACAACGTTGATTTTTGAATTTCTCAACACGTCCTTCCTTCCTTTCCCCCACCACATTGCCAACTTGTAAGTCTTTCCATCCAAGTCCTCTTCATCTCAAGTCAGTTCGTCCTTTCCTTCTTCATTCACGTTCTCCACACTCACAGTCCTCTTTGTTTGCTCATCTCTAGTCAGCGCGTGTATTGGCCGTACTCACACTCACCCCCCTTTCTCTTCTCGTTTCGAATTTGTGCATGCTTTCATCTGTCTTTGTCCATGTCCGCTGTACTCATACCCCCTTTGCCTTCTTGTCCAGGCAGTGCTGACCACCTACCCTCAAGCATGTGTAGCATCTCTGTGCGTACTTTCATCCTCCCTCATCTGTCTTTGCCATATTAACCTTTCCCTTCCTCTCCTCATCTCCAGGCATTGTCTCTTGTCGGTGTTTGTTGTACTCCCCCCCTCCTTCCCCCTTTCTCACCTCATCTCGAGGCAGTGCATACTTTCCTCTTCTTTGATCAGCTTTCCTCATCTCTTATCGGCGTTCGTTGTACTCACCCCACCTCATTCCATTCCCACTTTCTCTCCCCATCTCCAGGCAGTGCTTACTTTCCTTGTCTCTCTCACACCAGTACTCACCCTCCCCCTACCCCACCCCTTGCTCTCCTTGTCACCAGGTAGTAGATGTGGTACACCCTTCCTTCTGCTCATGATTAGGCTAGTAGCTTGAATGTGTATATATCCTGTCTCATATAATGATGCTTTCTAATTATTACTGCCATTTTGGTTCAAAAAAATGGCCAGCTTTTTATTGAGTATCCTGAACCAGTAGCCTTTGTAGATCGGAAACAATGCTAACAATGTATGATTAGACTTTGTTACATAGCTCTGGTTCACCTGGTAGCTTTGGTAGACACAGAGCAACACACACAATGTAGAGCTATGTACCGAATTCAGGAAACTACTGGTGCTACTGAGATTGGTAGGATGACTACGGTAACTATGCACTAGGGGACTTGTGTACCCAGCTACCCAGGATACCAGGAGTATTTGTAACTACTGACCCAAGTCAGTGCCTCCTGATGTGGCTTGACAGCTAACTTGGGCATGATGTGAAAATTTTGATAATGTGGCAATAGCAATGTGTAAAGTCATGGCAATCCTTCAGCCATATTGCACATGAACTTATAATTATGTTTTGAGGTAGGGCAGTAGGTATCAATATGAAAGGCTTAGAATAGCCTTTCCTAATGTGAAAGACAACTTGTGCATGATGTCAAAAACTAATTCTGCAGCACTGGCAATATGTAAGATCATGTCAATCCTTCAACCTCATCCCCATAACCTAGACAGGGCCAAGGACACCATAGCCTACATGTCAACTACAAACTTTTCTAATGAAAAAGCGCACACTACAAACTTTTGTAGTCTAAAAAAGCGGACACTACATACTTTTTCAAATGAAAAAGCAGACACTACATACTTTTCCAATAAAAAAGCGCAAACCACAAACTTTTGTAGTCTAAAAAGCGGATACTACAAACTTTTCTAATGACAAAAGCAGACATTACAAACTTTTGTGGTCTAAAAAAGTGGACTGGACATCCTTTTATAATGGCTCTCATGCTCTCTTTTGCATATGATTCCTCAAACCAAACATGGCATAGGGTCCCTGCAATGTATCTGTATATTCCCCAGCCATTTTCCCATCAAATATGTGCCATGTATGGGATGGATGGGCTAGGTTGACTTTGGATAACCTTTTAGCCCTAACCTTAACTTTGTAGTCCAACTCCAACTTTTGTAGTCTTTTGTAGTGTATCAGTAAAATTTGTAGTCTATGTCCGACTTTTGTAGTCTTTTGTAGTCTATCAGTAAACATGGTAGTCTAAGTCTGACTTTTGTAGTCTTTTGTAGTCTATATCTGACAATTCCTTTTCTAGGGCATGCACCTTCCTTTTTTGGTCATTTTTCCCATGATACAATAACTGTAGCCCTTTCTTTTAGCTTTCTAAATATACTGAAATCATATTGTTTGGTTTTGTTTTCATGGAGAAAAATGTAAAAAACAAAAAAAAACATGACACTTTTGGGATTCCTTTACCTCATATATCCACAATGGGAGCACTTCAGAACATAATTTGAACAGATTCAGGAAGCTACAGTGTAAGGCTACAACTTTTGTTTTATGACCATTTTTGGTAATTGGTCATGTGACCAATATCATGACATCCCCCAATGGACCCTGACAAATACAAACCTTGCAAATTTGGTACTATTATCCCATGAATTTTCTCTATTTTATTGCTATTTTTCTTTTAG